CTACAGCACTACTGTTGGAGTTTGAATGGTTAATGGTTAATTGGAGATAGTCTCACATGGACTTCTCTGCCCTCAGAGCTCAGAAAAAGTTGGAAGTGCACTAGCCTTGAGCAAAAATGCTCAGAGATAGTGTCCAGGCTCTGAGATTAAGCCCTTGGATTGACATACACGCCAACAAAACCTCAAACTAAAAAAAAAATGTAACTATCTATCTAGATTATGGTTTATATAATGAGATGTTTGAGTCTTTCCTCGATATTTAACTGGCACCTATTTCTGGGCACAGACAGGAAATATTCTATGTTAATGTATATGCTACCTTTATTTATAGAATAGAAATACCTTTCTTAAACCAGATCCTCTTCACCTTTCAAGGAACTTGGCTCTTCCTATAGTGGAAGGGTTTGGATACCACAGGTGTATGTGGACCTCAGAATCTTGCTCTGAAAGTGATGATTTCAGTGAGAAATCCATTTGTGGCATTGACTTGTGTAGCACTGCTTCCTAGAAAGCCAAGCGTGTTTATCTGGTCTTCATTTGGGAGTAGCTGTTCAAAGATCATTGGGGCCAATTGGACTGTGATAGGTTTGCAAAACTGTGTCCCTAAGAGTGCCATCACACACCTCTGCCTAGGTAGGCCTACCCCCTCTATTTGTCTTTCAATGGGCAAGTGTGTGTGTGTGTGTGTGTGTGTGTGTGTGTGTGTGTGTGTGTAGTCTGAGTTACCTGCCTTCCACAGGACACTCTGATTTTTATATCCAAATGAATGCAGGGCCTCAGAGGAGGCTGCATGGGGACTCCTAATTCTTCTGTAGAGTCCTGAGGTCCCAGGTAACATTCCTGCCAACTACAACTCTGTCTATTTCCTTGTTCACTTTGAGGGTAACTGAACTTTTTGCCTTAACTCTGCCTGGCCTCAAACATAGAAGCAGGCAGAAGTGCAGTCTCTTCTCAAGGCTAACGTGACCAGGGGCAGCTTCCTGCTTCTCAGAAGGTCACTCCACCAGTTTCCCTGGGCCACATGATCACCACCATTACAGGGTGGTATGAACAGCCACTGTTTGTACTGATGGTTAATCAATCGCCAGCAGTCTTATAAGAGCCAGGTATTGATTTTAAGGAGAGGAGACAGGCAGCTTTGTCAGTAGTGCACCTGTCTTGCTGTACCTTTACTTAACCTTGTCTGTGGATACCTAGACACTACCTGATAGGCAGAGCGGGAACTCGAGCAGTTTGCCTTCTGCTTATTTGGGGCCCACTACAAATGAATTCCCCTGGGTGTATTGTGCTTGTTTCAGCAGAGCAGTTTGCTGAACACTTATTCTCCAGTGACTGGACTACTTTCTTCTCAGAATGTCTCAAGAATTGATGCAGTAGGACCACTGGTAACCAGCAGATTCCATCCTGTTCTGTAGATCATGAGATCAGACCTATGGAATGAGTAGATTCCATTCTTTCTCTGTTCCTAAACAGTTGGGTCACCAATCTGGACTTCAGTTTCTTCATCTGCATAATGGGTGTGCATTATCCTTGTAGGGCTTCTGCAATCAAATACCACAGGCTGCAGAGCCTCTTTTAGCCACCCATCCCCACTCTGTAGGCAACAAGTCTGTGACTGAGGAATCAGCAAGGATCCTTATTTCAGAAATTTCTTCTTGGTGTGTGTCAGGCTCCCTTCTTTCTGTGTCTTCACACGCTCTTCCCACTCTAGAGTCTAAACTCTGATCTCTTCTTATAAGGATGCTTGGCATAGTGTGTTGATCACTCCCCTTTTTGTGACAATATGGTCATATTTACAAGGATGAAGTAAGGGCCAGGACTTCAAAGTATTAATTAAGGAGGAGACACAATTCAAGCACCACACAGGTGGGTGAGGTGGTAGGGGTGCTTAATTAGTGATTTTCTCATGATGATGTGAGGAGGTGTATGTGTTTGCAAGACTCTGGAGGCAATGATGATGAATTCTCCTGGTTTGCCCTGTTCTAAGAGCTTTCCCAGGCTATGTACTGATACAGGCGGTCCCAGCATCCTGGGATAGCTGGTTTCCTTATGAGGTGTCCATTAAAGCATGGAGCTCATGCTCAGGTCCCCAGCCCTTCTCAGCTAGAGTTACATTGTTTCCCTCAAAGTCTCCACCAGCATGATAAGTGAGATGAATTTAATAGAGTGTTTCATAGCCCAAGCCATTAGAAAACCACTTGGTTCAGTAGCCCCCATGGTCCTTTCCTGCTGCCACATTCTCTGATGTAATGTCTTCTGCACACATGGAATTCCAGCTGTCTGTGTGCAACAAATAACTTAGTGGAGCAAATCTCATTTAGTTTGTGTCTGAAAGTGAACTAAAACAGAACAGCAGTGTTTGCTAAACCTGGCCTGTCCTGAGGCTGTTCTTGGCACCGTGCTCTTGCGATGCTGGCTAGACAAGCCTTATATTCTCTGTTATCTCCCATCTGAGCAGCGCTATGAAGTTGTGGAGTATATAGCTTGACCTACAGGAGCCACCATCATGCAGATGCAGGTGGAGAGACTGAGTCAGGGAGATACACCATGTCTGTCTCCTAGCTGGTTGACAAAAGGGTCTCCTGCTTCTCATAGTTCAGCTAGAACACTTCTGTGTCCAGGGCTGAGCCCAGATGCATGCTTTCCCAATGTTAGGAAACAGGGACCACACTGGCAAGCCTAAAGTGCTAACATCTCTGTTGATGGGATGTCATCTCAGCATCCTCTGCCTGGCCATCCTTTTGCTCTTTAGAAGTCTAGACTTCTAAGTTCAAAGTTATCAAAAATTATAACCTTCCTGGTTGCCAGTAGTTCTAGCTACTCAGGAGGCTGAGATCATGGTTTGAAGCCAGCCTGGGCAGAAAAGTCCACGAGATTCTTCCAATTAACCAGCAAAAAGCAGGAAGTAGAGGTGTGTCAAGTGGTAAAGCACCAGCCTTGAGAGAACAGCTAAGAGACAGAGCCCAATTCCTGAGTTGAAGTCTCTATATTGGCACATATAAATAAAGTTATATTCTTGTTAGTTAATTTTCCTTTAGAAAAGGACTTTACAGCATGCTAGGCTGGCACTTTACCATTTGAGCCACACCTCCAGGTCTGTTTTTTTGCTGTATATAATTTGGAAATGAAGTCTAACAAACACTTCTGCCTTCAGATCTCAGTCTCCTGAGCAGCTAGGATTAGTAACTAATAGTAGAGATGATGATACATATGGCTAAAGCTTCTAATTTGTGGTGAGGGAGACACTTTGTGAAACCCTTGGTAGCAGGAAAGGTTACAGTCCCCAGGAATCTAGAAACTGGCACATAAAGGCTAGAGTTGTTCCACTGGCAAAAATCTTGGGGTCAGTGCCTCCACCAGGGTAGATTTTACCTGGGCTTCACAGTACTGGCTGAAAGCCTTGTGGAAGGTAGTTTCTCTCCCTCCCTTCCTCCCTCCCCGCCTCTCCCTCTCCCTCTCCTTCCCCCTCTCCCTTTCTCCTTCCCTCCCTCCCCCCTCTCTCTCTGTAGTGGTTTTCAATATTTTTAAATGCTTGCAGAGTAAGAAAAAGAGAAAGAAAAAAAGTAAATTATTGTGACAGGTGGCAGGGCTTTGCTTTGTTAGAATGTAGTCCAGAAAACAATTAGAAGTGCAGATGAGAGCTATACTTCAGCCAGTTGTTGTTAAATCATGTCTGTTATCCTAGCTACTCAGGAGACTGAGATCTGAGGATCAATCATGGTTTGAAGCCAGACTGAGCAGGAAAGTCCATGAGACTCTTATTTTCAATTAACCAGCAAAAACTGGAAGTGGAGGTATGGCTCAAGTGATAGAGTAATAGCCTCTAATGAAAAAAGAGGCAATACCCAGTCCCTGAACTGAAGTTCTAGTACTAGTACAAGAGAAGAGAGAGAGAGAGAGAGAGAGACAGACAGACAGACAGACACAGAGAGACAGACACCCAAAGAGAAATGAACTTATTCATTTACGTATGGAAAATATACATGTATGTAATTATTCCAATGAAAACTCCTGATGTGATTAATGTATACTAATGCAACTAAAATAAAATAGAATAAAATAAAATGGAAGCACTAAACTAAAATAGAAGCACAATTAGAATGCTCTGCAAGGGCAGAAATGCTGTCCCCTAAGGACATATTAAGGCACAAAGTGGGGATTGGGTGCCTTGAGCCTTGTCATTACAACCTGTTGGTCCTGTCTGTGGTTGGAAAGCAGGTGGGTTAAGACCCCCATCCAGCCTGAGTGCAACTGAACTTGAAGGTCTTTGCTAGCAAATCAGTCTTAGGAGACGTTGCCTGCCAAGCTTGCTGGTGAAGCACTGCTAATGAAGGCAGAGTGAATCTGCTGCTCCTGGCTGATCTCTTTGTGCTATTCCCTCTCAAGGCTATGGTTGCGTGGGTGGGTTGAGCTTGACTCTTCTTCCCAGGGCCACAGACCTGTCAGCAGTGGGTACTAGGCATGGATGGAGTCTGTCCATGCAGCAAATCTTCCTTTGCCTTTGCACACAGAAGGTAGGACTAGTTTTCAGCAGATTTCAAGGCAATCTGGTCAAGTTTACCATAACCTGAGGACAAAGGTTTTAGACCTTTGATTTTCAGCTACTCTCTGGTAGCAGCCACCTCTCTCCACCTAAAAGACCACTGCCCAAACATGGCCTGCATCACTCCTGCAAGGCTTCCTTCCTCCTATAGCATATATAACCTCCACTTATAGAATTGTATCATGGGGATGTATCAGAATCTTATTACTTATCTATCTTCTGTTGCCTTTTTTTTATTCTTGCAGTACTGGGATTTGCTAAGCAGGCACTCTACCACCTGAGCCATGCTCTCCAAGTTTACCAGCTTCTTATAGACACTTCTAAAACTTATTTAAAGTAGAGGAGGAAAAGAAAAAAGAAAAGGCAACATGAGGCTACTGGTTAAGAAATGTAAAAATCTTTATTGTCTTTAATCCTGTGATCTATTATATGTGACCACATTTCTCCCATCAGCAAGCATCTCTATGGATTATTCCACTACAATACCATGATGCTTGGACTTGAATCACTTCCGGACCCCATGGATACCTGGGAGATTATAGAGACCATTGGCAAAGGCACATATGGCAAGGTCTACAAGGTGACGAACAAGAATGATGGGAGCCTGGCTGCAGTGAAAATTCTGGATCCCATCAGCGTAAGTCTCAGTGGTAAATTACAACCACCATCAAATGTTTCCCAAATATTGAGCTTTCAATTTCCTTTCTAGCTCTTTGGAGGCAGGGACCTCACTTGGAGTTAAAACTTCTTTTAGCTTTTGTTTTTTGCTTGTTTTTACTGTTATTTTGATTTTGACCCTTTGGGCTTTTCAAAAATTGCTCTTTTAGGAAGAGGGCTATATTTCACTCCCTAGTCTCCCTGCAAGTTACAAAGTGAACCAGGCTTATGATAGTCTGTCATCCGAGGCAAACATCTTATTTCAAGTGATTGAGGTTACAATGTCCTACATTGTTTTGCACAGTGGAGTTGTATATGATCAATCCTGTGTAAGGTGCCTTCAAGACACTTATCCTTAACTACTTAGAAATTTTAGATTTGTTTCTAATAAAAGATACAATAATGGTATCTAGGTAAAGAAAACAAAAATTATTTAAATAATTTGAATTAATTGAATAATTTGAATAAATTGAAATTAAAATGTCTTTGGTTAGGTATTTTGAAGGCTGACATTAAAAATATATAACATAGGGGCTGGGAAAGTGGCTCAGTGGTAGAGCACTTGCCTTGCATGCATGAGGCCCTGGGTTCGATTCCTCAGCACCACATAAGCAAAAATAAAAAAGCCGGAAGTGGCGCTGTGGCTCAAGTGGTAGAGCTCTAGCCTTGAGCTGAAGAGCTGAGGGACAGCGCCCAGGCCCAGAGTTCAGGTCCCACAACCGGACCCCCCCAAAAAATATATATCTATATAATATATATTATATAGATAAATATATATAATAAACTAGGTACTGTGGCTCATTCCTGTAATCCTAGCTAGTTGGGAGACAGAAGTCAGGAGGATTGTGATTCAAGGCCAACCTGGGCAAGACCCTCATCTCAACCAAAAAAAAAAAAAAAATCTAAGCACAGTGGCATGCATTCATTATTTCAAACTATAGTAGAAAACGTAATAAATTGAGGATCTCAGTCCAGGCCAGCCCAGGTGGAGAGCAAGGTCCTATTTGAAAAAAAAAAAAAAACTAGAGTAAAAAGAATTGGGAGCATGGTTCAAATGGTAGAGTGCCTGCATAGCAAGTGCAAGCCTCTAAGTTCAAACCCCAGTACTGCCCCAAACAATCCATAATAAATTGGTATCATTAATTGAATACCTGAACACGATGCCATATTTGTATAACTAGTATTAATCTACATGCATTTTTAAAAATGTGTTTAGGATATGGATGAAGAAATTGAGGCTGAATACAACATTTTGCAGATTCTTCCTAACCATCCCAATGTTGTGAAGTTTTATGGGATGTTTTACAAAGCAGATCGCTGTGTAGGTGGACAGCTGTGGCTCGTCCTGGAGGTAAGTGGCTATTGAGTAACCATCAGCTGAACAGAGTTCCAGGGGCAAAAAGATGTTTTGTTTAGGCCTCTCACTCATGTGACAGATCCTTGCTGGATATGGAAACCTCTGCAGTTCTTATAGTTAGGCTGTGTGTTGAAAATATTTTTTAAAATGCGATTTTATTGTAAATATATGTACAGAGGGGTTACAGTGACATAAGTAAGGTAATGAGTACATATCTTTTAGAACAGTATTAACTCCTCCCTCATTTTTATCCTGCTTTCCCTCCCTGCCCTGACTTGTTTCTCTGTTTCAAAAGTAGAACCAGAGGCTGGGAAGGTGGCTCCGTGGTAGAGTGTTTGCGTGAGGCCCTGGGTTCAACTCCTCAGCACCACATAAGCAAAAAAAGCCAGAAGTGGTGCTGTGGCTAAAGCAGTAGAGCACTAGCCTTTAGCTGAAGAGCTCAGGGACAATGTCTAGGCCCAGAGTTCAGGTTCCACGACCCCTCCCCACCCCCCCTCCCCCACAAAAGTAGGACCATCTTTTCTCTTACTAGAGAAAATACATGAGTATAATTAGAAAAGGTTATTGTGTTCCCTAAATTGGTAATATTTCCTAGAACTCATGTTCCAATTGTTTGCAACTCATTTTCAAAGCTTTCTAACTCAAGATGCCCTTGGCTTACCATAATTGCCCACTGGTATCCAGTGGGTCTTGCTCTACGAACTATGTGTTGTGTAGGAAGGGCCCATTGGAGAGTTCTTACAGGAAATGATGAGGCCTGGAAGGAAGCGAGGACGGCAGGGTGAGTGGGCAAGGGAGACATCAAGCAGCTGTGTGGATGCAACCAAGGCCTTGGCCAATCTTGAAAAAATAGAGCTCAGAGGCCTTTTCAGACCCGTCCTCAGTTGTACTCCTGCATCCGTTAGTCATCAGCTGCGTGTGGGCCCTAGAAGAGAGCCCGACCCCGGGGGAGGCAGTTCCCTGTTGTGGGGTGCAATTCCTAGTGAAGAATGCAGCTGCAGCTGGGAGACGTGGGCCATCAACCTTCCTAGCAGCACCTGTTCTGAAAAGGGAATCTGAAGAGACATCTCTGTGTCCACTATGGCCCCACCATTTTGTCTCCTTTTTGAATTTGCCTCTGAGCCCAACAGTAGTTTCTCAAAAGATAATGCATGTGTCCTTAACAAGGATAATAGGCAGTCCTATTGCCTTGGATTTAGAACAGGCCTACTGTAGACTCTGTCTCTGAATCAGCTCGTGCTCCCTACCAGAGACCATGTGGGTGGACTATGTAGGCACCCTACAAGAGAGACATCAAAGGAGAGGTCCACCCTCTTCACTGTCTGGTGCCTCTTTACCCAGTCTTTCTGGTTCTGGGAAGGCCTGACCATGGGACACAATGTACTGGCTGCCCTGGCAACCATGTGTGGGAAACTCATTGTTATATTTGAGTGGGATGATCTACAAGGAAACTCTTCTGAATATTTCTGTCATATCAATTGCCTTCCTCACAATATAAAGATATAAGCAATTTGGGTCTTAGGGCATCATTATTTTCTTTTAATTGGTTGCTTGAGTCATATAACACATTGTTATTAGCATCTTTTGAGTTTCCTCTCTGTCCCTCATCCCATGAAGAGAATATTGGGCTTTATCTTGGTAATGAAGCTTCTTTGTTTAGGAATGGCCTTATTTCTTGGGTCCCCAACTCTATTTTCCTTTAGCTCTGTTAATAACTGGTACTCACCTGCCAGCCTCCTCCCCCCACCCCGTGATGACTACGAAGAGATGTAGCCACTCTGTGACACTGAATTTCTTATATCTGAGCAATACAGTGTGTTTACATTGTGACTTTTGCTGGTCATTTTGGCCCATGCTCAATCTGGCAGCATGAGATACTCAATGTTGGCCGTTTTTATCCTAGGACGAGTTGTCTTTACAATGCTGCTGGATGGTGGGTTGTGCCCAGTACCTCTAAAAGTCCTATGAAAAATACAAGGATTCCTGAATTTCTAACAGTTTCACTGGTGTTCATTGAAGGTCAAGAGCCAGAGGGAGTAGCAACATGTCTATGGTCACATAACTAGCTACATGGCAGAAATAGAAGAAAAACCACATGCATCAGTCAGCTTCCCATCACTGTAACAAAATACCTCAGTTAAAACAACTTAAGAGAGAAAAGATTTATTTTTGGCTCATAGCTTGGGAGGGTTTAGTCTTTAGTCAATTAGGTTTGGGGGTCTGTGGAGAGGTAGCATGTCACAGATGGAGCATAGGGCAAAGAAGCTGCTCACCTCATGCGAATGGAGAGTAAATCAGAGAAAAAGGGTCAGGGACACACAGTTCCCTATTAGGACACACCTCCAGGGACCTAACTTCCTCTCATGAGGCCCTACCTCCTGAAGGTCCCACCACCATAGTCTAGTGACGGAGTTTTTAACACATGGGCTTTGGGGGACACTGTCTAAGCTACAGTGTTGTGCTTCAGCCCTCTCATAACACCATGGCTGCGGCCACCTGGGATGCTATCCATGGGATCATGGGAACACAAATACAGGGTCTTTGGATGGGATCACAGCACTTCCTGACGCCCCACACAGCTGGATTATGACAGCAGGCTACCGAGCACCTTCACTGTGTTGCTCTACCTGCATTTTGTTTGTTTGCTTGATTTTGTTTTTGTGAGGGTTCTGGGCTTGGACTCAAGGCTTCACATTCTTCATAGGCCTTTTCACTCATGGCGGTGCTCTATCTCTTGAACCATACCTCCAGTCTAGCATTTTGCTGGTTAATTGACGATAAAAGTCTCAGGGGCTTTTCTGCTTGGGCTGACTTTGAACTATGAGCCTCAGAGCTCAGTCTCCTTAGTAACTAGGATATCAGAAGTGAGCACTCATTTGTCTGGCTTACCTGCAGCTTGTTAAGGTGTACTTTCAAAAGAATCATACAATAAAATTATGACCTATACATTGAAATTAAATTTATGTTGCTTTCGCTCTTTCCTTGCTGAAAGGACTAGCACATGAAAAGCCATTCCACTGAGCAATTTTAGATGATAGAAAAATATTGTTAATAATTTCCTTAAATCATTTCAATCCTGAAAACAAAACAAATAAAAACGTCATCTCTGAAATTCATTACTAATTTGCTAGTAGAAAGCCAACAAAAACTCTGTTTTATGACAGATACTATATTAGGAAGATATGGAAAGAAAACATATACAACATCTTGGGAATTTTCTAAATGTTTTATTTTAAGTGAGCATTAAAAAATTTTAAATCTGCAAGTCCTATTATCTCACACCTAAATAAAAGTTAACAAGAAATAAAACCCCTGAGAAAAATACAATACTTGGAAAAATAGTATGCATATAAACTATATTTTCTCTTTCTCATTTTAGAGTAAAACTTCTGACAGGTGGGAACTATTGATTTCAGAGCAAATCAAATGTTCAATTTAAATTGTTTATAGAGTTCTATAAATAAGGATATAAAGAAAAAATAAAATTTTTTGTTTTCTAAACCAGGTAAAAGAACAGGGTTTGGAAAATCAGTTTTCCTACCTTGCCAGAGATCTAAGTTCTGTATCTAGTTTGTGGAATGAAAGTGGGGGGTGGGCTAAGGAGGGAGGTGGCATCTCTATCCAGCCTATGCTTTTGAGAGTTTATGCTTTTTCTGGCCTTACAAAGCCAGTCTAGCCATGACCATCATCAGAAGTGTTATACATCAATGCATTTTCACTCACTGGTATTGGTGTGCGAATTAAAGTTATCAGGTCTTAGCAGGCCTGGAAGTTTTTTGCTTTGTGGTTTTTTTTTTTTCTGTCAGTCCTGGGGCTTGAACTCAGGGCCTGGGCATTGACATTTAGCTTTTTTGTTCTAGGCTAGCACTTTACCACTGGAGCCACAGCTCCAGTTCCAATGTTTCTTTTGTATGTTCTTCCCTCTATGGTATATCCCCTGTTCATTGTATTTGATTTTGGTACCCTGGTATTGTATATATGTTTATTTTAATTAGGGAAGGGAAGAGGAACAACAGAATGGTGAGACAAAGGAGGGAACCAAAGCAACAGAAATATACACAAGACAATATGTTGGAAATGATCTGTACAACCTAGGGTGGGGAGCGTTGGGGGGGGGAAAGAAGGAGAAAACTAAGAGAAGGAGTAACAAGTTTGACAAGCAATGTACTTATTACCTTACTTATGTAACTGTAACCCCTCTGTACATCACCCTGACAAAAAAAAAAAGTAAATAAGAAAACAAAAGAAGCCAAAAAAAGAGTATCATGGACTTTACTGCTTAAGCTGGCTTCAAACTATGATACCCACATAGATTTTGACTAGCTGAAGATAGTTTAGGTGGCACTGGAGCACTGAACACTGACTCTGAAAAATCTAGAATGAGAGTCCCTGGAATGGGAAATACACTTGAGACATGAAAAGGGAAGAGCTTTGAAATACGACAGTAGCATTCTACGTGCATGTGCTGTGCGTATGTGTGCTTGGCCCAAAAGAGCTCAGAAACTGAGGAGTGGAAGGGAGTGTGCCCGTACCTTTACTCATTTTGATCAGAGCTCTGGGGTTTCAAGGCCTGGCTTTTCTTTGTCTAGTTACAGACCAATGACTTGGCTTGGTATTCATCTGTCCTAATACTAGAGGAAAAATAGGCTGTCTGAATTTACTGAGAACTGGCCATTGTTCACTTTGATCTCTGCTTTATGTTCTTTGTAAAACTTAACACCTTTGGAAAGACCTTGACAGTCTACTGAACAAAAGGTTATTGCAAAAAAATTCCTCTTATTCTGCAATCTGATCAGGTCAAATCAACATAGTGATGCAGAGTCTACTTAATAATTGGCCTGCGCTAGAACAAAGGCCTGGGGAACATGTTGTACCAGGCCATTCTTTCATACTGTAGAGGAAAATTGATGGCTTATTGAATAAGGAACGTTTTATTGTTTGAAATTAGAACCATTTTACTAAATACACATACTGTGATTGTGTCAATATTCAAT